AAAAAAAAAAAAATACTATCTGCAGTCAGTTACAAAATGAGGACTCGGTGCACTTACAAGGGACAGACCCAAGGAAGTCCATTAACCACCAGAGGAAGCGCATTAAGTGGTACATTAGGGCATTGCAATGGGAATTTGTAAGGACGTGATTCCACCTCTACCCACTATGTCATATTCCTGCCAGAGTCTGAACAGCTCTCAGGGTCCAGCGCTTGGTAGCAGCGCAGAGGTGACCTCTCGCAGAGGGCGACCTCAGTGCCTGCTCACCTAAAACTCACCTTGGTCTCTCTGGTGAAGGGTTAGGGCTTCGAGGAGGAGGTGTGCGTGGTACAGCTGGCTTCGGCGCAATGCTGGCTGCCGGGAGGAGGCCATGGACGATATGCTTCTACAAAAAAGTGACCGCCGGTCAAAGTCAAGACGTCATGGTGGGGGACAGTCACCTGGGCTCTGCCACTACTGTCTTCCTTTTCTCTCCACTTACCTCTCTTGGTAGCACATACCATTCTGCCTCAAGACATGTCCACCTGGGAGATGTCTGACGACAGGAAAAGCTTCTACCCACCTTTGAATTCCAAGGGCTTGGCACCCAGGAAAGGAGTCATGGTGGTACAATGGATTAAGCATCGGTCTGTGGTTCAAACCCACCAGCTGCTTCTTGGGAGAAAGATGGGGCTATCTGTTCCCATAAAGATTTGCAGTCTCTGAACCCCTGCTCTGTCCTACAAGGTCGCTATGAGTCAGAATTGACCTGACAGACAACAGTGGGTTTGTTCCCTCTAGCTCATCAGAGAGAGCTAGAGGGCTCTGTAGGACAATTATGGACTGCAAACCACAAGGTCGGTGGTTCGAGGCCATCAGCTGTCCTGTGGGAGAAAGACAATGCTCTCCACTCCCACAAAGATTTCACCCTACACAGGGTTGTTGAATTTGAACCAACTCGATGGCACTTAACAACAACAACAGGTCTCTCAGAAAAGCCTGATGAGCTGGTTTGATTGTTTTCTAGGAGTGAAGCCTCATAGTATGCTAAGCATTTCTCACTGGTACCACTGTATGACTCATTTTCTAACTGTGGTCCTTCTGCCGTCACTTCCCAAAACACATGATGACCCAGTCTCTTGATGACAGACCTAGCTTGGCATAGAAGGCCACTTAAGTTGGTTCTGACCCATAGACCTAGTTCCATTTCTTGCTACCCGCCTCATTCTCTGCATGTTAGCACTCAAAATCAACTCTCATTTCCCAGAGAGTAAACTATTTCTTTTATTTTGAAGTCCTTATACATACTGTTTATTCCACCTGAAATTCCCTTTTACTCTCCCTAAGGCCCACGTCAACTCTCCAGAATGATTTAGCTGCCCCTTCTTGGTACGCACTTCTCTGGTCTTCTTGTGTTACCATTTTGTGCATAATGAGTTATTGATCTGTCTACCGTCTAGATGGAGTCCTGGTGTGGCGCTGTGGGCTAATGCGTCAGACTGCAAAGTTGTTTGAACTGCAAGGTCGGTGGTTCAAGCTCACCAGCTGCTCCTTGGAAACCCTAGACAGGGTCGCTATGGGTCCGAATTGACTTGGCACTTAACAGAAACAGCCGTCTAGATGAAGTCCTGGTATAGCACTGTGGGTTAATACACCACACTGCAAGGTCAGTTTGAAAAACAAGGCCGGCGGTTCAAGCTCACTAGCCGCTACTCGGAAACCCTGTGCAGGGTCGCTATAAGTTGGAACTGACAAAATGGCACTTAATGAAGATCCTCTAGATAGTGGAGCCATCAACTGTCAGTCAGTTTGGGGTATTGGTTATGCATCAGGAACTCAAATAATGCTTACTGCTTATTGAATAAAAAACTCAGTAAACATGCTGACTTAGCAAAATGGCAACGTAAAAACATATGTTTGAAGAGTACCCATGAATATGTTAGCAATGATTCTCTTTGGATGGTGGAGTTCTATGTAGTTGCTTTTGTATTTTTATGATCTGTTTTCTCATTTCCTAATAAGCTTGGCTTAGTTTAATAAAATAAGCTTAAAAATAAAAACAAACATGCTTCAATTATGTCTTCATTACTTCTCAATACACACCTGTCTAATAGAACTTCAGCACTCAGGCAACGTTTTTTTTTTTAATTTTTCGGCACTCAGACATAGGACTAGGCATGCAGTATGAAGCCCGGCATGTTCCCAGGCACGGCTTTAAAAGAATTCAGGAGTGCCCTTATCATACTAAGGAGCTCTGGTAGCGTAGTGGTTACGAATCGGCCTGCGAACCTTAAGGTCAGCAGTTTTAAACTACCAGCTGTTCTGTGGGAGAAAGATGAGGCTTTCTTCTCTCGAAAAGATTTACAGCCTTGGAAACCCTGTATAGGGTCACTATGAGTAGGCACCGACTCCACTGCACACAGCCTTCTCATACTGCTTTATCTGCTTGGGGGAGATCTGACTGTAAGTAAGTTTGGGATTTTTGCCCAAAAAATAAGGAAAGGAAAGACAGACACAAGGGAATTGAGAGTGTATGTTTTTGTTAAGTGCCGTCGAGTCAATTCCGACCCATAGCGCCCCTGTCTAGGGTTTCCAAGGAGCAGCTGATGAGCTAGAACCACCAACCTTGCAGTTCAAACAACTTTGCAGTCTGACGCATTAGCCAACAGCGCCACACCAGGGGCCTACGGGAGGGTATACAGGAAGCGATTTTGATGATGAACTTTAGAATTCCACCTGGAAAAAGACAGCCAAGACAGGAGAGACGTGATGCTCCGTTGAAAGTTGGCGGGATTAGCAAATTGCTGGAGAATGAGATGGGGAGACTGAAAATGCAGTAACAGAGTGGCACCAGGGAAAGATCTGGAGGAAGGATTCCAGGCAGAAGGAACAGCAAAGGCAAAGGCGTGAAGCAAGAGTGTAAAGACCCTGTGTGGAGAGGCTCGATCACATTTAAGCATCCCTTTGGCTGCAAAGTGTAGAACGGGCCAGCTGCAGGGGAATTACTGAGGCGCTGCTGGCGCAGTGCAGGTGAAATGCTATAAACCCAAGTGGCATAGAAAGGCTTGAAACTATACTTTGTGACAGGATCGAAGGGACTTTCTGATGGGGTGTGGTGCCTGGTGAGGGAGGACGCAATCAAGAATGGTTTGGTAAGTAATATAACTGGACAAAGTGTTGTAGGAAAGACAGTGATTCCTGTTGGATTGCGGCCAACCCTGGGATTGAGGATTCTGTAAAATATTAAAAAGTCGGGAGCTCAACCAGAAGTAAAAAGAAGGGGGGGGGGGGGGGGGAAGTATTCTTATACAATTGATGAACTTGACCTACACCTATGGAAGCAGTAGCTCAAAAGAGGGAACAAGTCCTTACAGCAAGAGTCATCCCCACCCCCTCCACACACAGAGTAGACAGAGATGGGCAACTTGGACACTGGCTACCCAAAATGGGGGGCTAGGGGCTACAAAGGCAAGAAGTGACTGGCTTACAAGCTTTCA